AATTAAATACTGTAAAATGCCCAAAAAAGAGAACAATATATCATTGCCCAACTGTACTTATGCATATAGTGCCAGCATTGGGGCTAAGGCAGGTTCTGCACAAATGAGACAACAGCAACACAATATCACTTTATGAATAAATTTCACTGTTTTAATGGCTGAGCAAATGTAGGTTTGGAAAATGTATTGGGAAACAACACACTTTAGAATAGCATCTAATGATCTTTTATCTACCCTTAAGAGAAAAACACAAATATGTCAAATGGCACCTCTGCACGAGACAGGAAAAAATAGACTCTCTTGGGATGAAGGAATTTAGTTTTGAGTATTCTTATCAAAGTGGAGTTTAGGAACATCAGGTGCCTTGAACACTGCTTTCCAAGAATGGGACCACTGACCCTGAATTCTTCTCGAAAAGAGGGAGTCCTTGTCCCCAAGCATTTATAACCTGTTTTGACACAAGAGGCAGATATAAACCCTCAGTTTGAAAGGATGAACCAACACATTGTCTATACTCTGCATGTTGCAGGGGTTCCCAAACTGCTCTTCATGAGGCCTCCTCATGCAACTGCAAAGAGACTTTTTAATATGCCAACCATAACGAATATAATCTGCGCTGCAGATTAATTTTCCTATGTAGCACCCAGATCATTCTTCATCCATTAAGTAGCTTCCCACAAACCAGGCTTTTGGAGGCTCCAAACACATAATGGAAATCACTTACAATTTTGCAGAACTCATGAGCAGCCACTCGTACAGATTTGTTGAAGAATTCCCAATGCATCACTACATATGTTCCTGCTGCACTATATACCTTGCTATCAGAGCCCTTTGCTTTTTTATTTGCTTGATTAAAATACTATGCTGAGCTTCTCTGGGATGGAATATTTTCCTTCATTTATTAAACTGCCCTTGCCTCAAAGGAAAAGCAAAACAAAAACCCACAGAACTTAAAAAAAAAAGATTCAGGATAACAAGTGATGCAAAAGCCACCACTCACCACCAGCTGAATGATGCCCAGCTAGTCCCCAAGGAATGACTACTTTGGAAAAACTCCTCTCCAGTTTTATTGCTGAGTGTGACAATATACGATATGGAGTATCTCTTTCAGTTGCAGTCAGCTGTTCTGGCTGTGTCCCCTCCCAGCCTCTTGCCATCATCCCCCTGCCTACTTAAGTCCAGTACAAATACTAAACAAAATAAAGCAATACCTATGACAGAAATTTGCAAAATTGATCTGAGTGTGCTTTCTTGGTAATATTAAAACATAAGTTTGAAGGCAAAGTCAAAAATAGTTTTGAATTCTTGAGATTTGCTTCTTAGTAAACTTTTATGAGCAACAAATTCTTTTCTGCTGAAACATCGTAGAAGCATACTGGGTAAGTGAAGAAGGGTCTATTCAACACTGAGATGTGGTCCTGATCTTTGCTTTAAATGTCCTCTTACTTGTCTCTGACACTCATGCTAATACCTCCATCCTGTGAGCTGTTAAGTAGAAGCTGGGACCTGCCATCAAACTTGTACAGTGGAAAAAGTTTCCTGAGGAACAGAGAACTCACACTGCAACAGGAGAAGCCCCAATGGCTGTAGCAGAGTTTTCAGTTTAATTAATCCTAAATTAATTACTATTTGTGAAAACAACCACCAAAACACAGCCACTGGTTGGCCAACATAGACATAAAAAAGATGGCCTGGTGAGCCTAGGGGTTAATCTGCTCTGAGCTGGGATGCTAAGGGTACTGTTGGGTTGCATACTCAATACAAACATCATCCTTTTTCAGATGTTAACAGGGAGTGAAAAGACCAATTGAGTATTTAATGAATATTGGTTTAAAAAACTAATGTTCACATCTACATGTCAAAAATTAGTTACTTTTAAAGCATTCTAAGTGAAAATATCCTACTAAAAACGAGTATTTTCTTTGAAGAGCAGAGTAACTTTGATATTTCTGTTCATTTTACATAAGCAGAGTTCACATTTATGAGTGTCAGAAATACGTCTTACAAAGTGCTATAGCCTCTGTGTAACCAGTTTCTCGGCAGCTATTGCTTCTATGCAATAATCCTTTGTATCCGACTCTACAAACATCCAACCTCCTTGAACACAGGTTTGATGGCTTGTGCATTGTTACCACGGGTTTCAAATACAGCATATCTCACCCGTTGCTGACAACCCACAACACTTTGGGAAGACTTGAAGTCTGATAGATTAGAAATGGAAAGTGGGTGTTTTGAGTTGAGAATGGAAACAAAATGGCCAGAAACAACTAACAGTAATTAATAATAATACACACGTATTCTTTGAATTTAGCCAGGATACTTTAGGTTCATCTGAATTTATTAAAAAACTTTCCTGATACTTCACATTATACCCTATGAACCATTATGCCATATTTAATCTTCGTTCACGTTGCCAGACTTTTCATGTATACTTTGAAACAGCAGCATGAGGACCAAGCTCAAAACCAAACCAGCAACTCACCTGAATTGTTTGCTACATGAATGCCTTTCAGACTTTCTCTAGCCAGCTAAGCATGTGTCCCATAGTGGAAGCTCTAATATAATCTCGTCTTTAAGTCTCACTCAAGGTAACAGATATTTTCCCACCATGTGAGTGTGTCTCAGTGTGCTGTGTGGAGTCCAATAGTTTCCATTTATGCCATTTGCTTTTCACGGCAATGTGACACACTGTGGCTGTGCAGACAGAGCCCTTGGGTACATTGAAATAAGAGAGAGGCAGGAAGCAAACATGATCATCCCCACTCCTTAAGAGATATCTCATTCCCTGTTTTGTTTAGGTCCTTAGTCACACCTTCTTTGGATACTAGGATGCTGAATATTCCTGTAAAATCTTTGAGTTGGGGAAACCATTGTCTTAGACCATTTATGCAACTTCTGTAGCTAAAGAGGAAAGTTGTTATTTATTCTAGTAAAACACATCTGGTAAACTATCACTGCAGAAGCATGACCAGAATGTTATTTATCTATTCCTACCCACACATAGGTATAAAGCTGGCATGCAATGCACC